TTGATTTCGTTCCTAAGAATGTTTTAGTATGTATACCGGCCGCAAGAGTAATGACGTCATGATTTTGGCTCCGCTGGCAATATTAGGAACATGACAATAATTGGCTTAGGTACCTTAATATTAACCTTACTAAACCAATAAATGCCGATCCTTTACCCTCTATCTCCCCTTATTCTTCGCCTGTCCGAAAAAGATGGACGCCTCTAATAAAAATAAGTGGCGTATGGTTATCGATTTTCGGAACTTAAACAAAAAAACTATCAAGGACAAATACCCTCTACCGAGAATTGACGCTGTTCTGGACTCTTTAGGGAAATGCTCTTATTATACGACTTTTGACCTAGCATCCGGATTTCTCCTAATACCTATGGATCCCAATAGTATAGAAAAGACCGCCTTCTCCGTGGAAAACGGCCATTACAAGTACGTTTGTATGCCGTTTGGCCTTAAAAATGCGCCCGCCACTTTCCAGCGTATGATGGACACCGTTTTAAAAGATTTTCTCTATCAATTTGTATTCGTCTACATGGACGACATTGTCATTTTCCGTTAATCGCTTCATGATCACATATTACACCTCAGACAAGTTTTCCAACGCCTTAAAGAAGTAAACCTAAAAGTCCAATTAGATAAAAATGAATTCCTTCGCAAGGAAGTCCCCTTTTCAGGACATATTATTACAACCGACGGAATACTACCCAACCCCGATAAAGTGGCCGCTGTCAAAAAACTTCCTATCCCTAAAACGCAGAAAGAAAAATCATTCCTTGGTCTTAGCGGATATTACCGCAAATTCATCAAAAATTACGCAAGAATCGTCTTACCCTTAACTAAATACTTGAAAAAAAAAACCAAAATTAATGTTAACGATGTTGAATATCTAAACGCAATTAATAAAATGAAAGAAATTATTTCCAACGCTCCCGTGTTAGCTTACCCCGATTTTAAACAAACATTTTGCATCACAACAGACGCAAGCGACAAAGCAATTGGTTCGGTAATCTCACAGAACAATCACCCCATAGCATTTTTTCTAGGACCCTCAATAGTGCCGAAAGAAATTACTCGACTATCAAAAAAAAAATTACTCTCCATTATTGACTCGTGTAAAAATTTTCGACCCTATATCTTTGGTAGAAAGTTTATTCTACAAACCGACCACCAACCTTTAGTATGGCTACACAATTTAAAGGAACCCCGAGATCGACTTAGTCGATGGAAAGTAAAATTATCAGAATACGACTATGAAATAAAACATATTAAAGGGAAAGAAAATAATGTTGCTGACGCTTTATCCCGGGTAGATCTCAATTCTTTAGAAGACGAAGATGACTGTGACCTTTTATCCCTTTTTAATAATGTAGACACCGAACAAGAACTTGACCCTGAAATGGCAGACAAAATATTAACAGAATTAGACAAAAACGTGCCCGACAATACTGCAGAAAATAAGGATGATGATATAAATACAGTGCATTCCGCTATCGAGAATCCTACTCCTACTATGCTTATCGCTGAACAGTCCTTGTAAGTATTTCATATACAAATCGCGATCCGATATGGCTCGAGAAGTAATTTTAAAATGAAAACGGCTTTCGGAAAAACTAACTATTCATTTACTTTGGAAGAGCCAGACTATAAAGTTTGGCTAACCGAAAAACTAAATGAAATCAAACCGTTACCAACTATAGGAATATATTTTTGATCCCGATATTGATGAATCAACACGAGATTTTTCTGTTATTACATCGGACCTTTTCAGAAAAACTCTCCTCATTTAAACAAAACAAAACCAATATCAACCTACCTAATTACAATCAGAACAAAGCAGTCCTAAATTATCACGAAAATAACCACAACGACATCGAAGAAACATTTAGACATTTCAAGACACAATTTAATATCTGAATCTTAAGAAACTGGTTCAACTTCAAATTAATAAGTGCAAATCGTGTAATAAAGAAAATATGATAGAAACCCCTATAAACCCCCTTACAAAGGCCCTGTCATATCAACGCGACCGCTTGAGATAATTATGCTAGACCTCTTTAGTCTCGAAAATCACACCTTTCTCACCATCTTCGATCATTTTAGCAAATACGCTCAAGCCTATTACTGATAAAAACGTCACTACAATCATAAACAAACTACGGCACTCTAATTACCATAACCTACCAGGAAAAATAATAATTGACCAGGATACTGAATTCAACAACATACATTTTAGAGACTTCTGTAAATTATTCAAAATTGACTTACACATCGCTAGTATAAAAAACCCTACTTCTATTTCACCTCTTGAGAAATTGCACAATACATTGAAAGAAAGAATAATTATTTTCAAGGGAAAAGGCGTCAATGACAACAACAACAATATCATGATTAACGTAATTTTCGTATACAACAATTCGATCCATACCACCACCAAATGTAGACCCTTTGACATCATTTATGGCCCATATAAAGAACCGTTAGAAATACAAAAAATAATTACCCCGTCAGAATATATAACTAACCGCATGCCAGAACTAAAATTATTGTATGAACAAATAAGTAAAGAAGCCAAAGACCGAAATCAAAAAGCCCTAGATAAGTTAAATAATAAAAATAATGAAGAAATACCCCAAGCTCCTAAAGACGTATTCATTAAGGTACCGTTAAGAAAGAAACTTTCACCAGAATTCCAAAAATTCCATGTATTAACACAAGAAAATGATAGGATAGAATGCATTGGACAAAAACAAACCGCTGTTCAGAAACACCGTATTAGAAAAATGAAAAGACTAAAGAAACATATTTTTTTGCAGAAATATGAAGACCCTCCTAACAGTGTTGTTGCTAGTACCAGCATTACCGAAGAAAACTAAAGTGACAAAACTAAACGACAAAATAACTTACATGGAAGAAAAACTTGGCCAAGCCCACATCCTTTCCCATTATCACAAATTCCTTTATCATTATAACCTAACCCTAGTAAGACAATCCTACCTAGATTTGTTAGAAAAAACTACCATTTTGAAACTCCATCACACACCGACGTCTTTCATGCCTTTAGAAAAAGCCTTAAACCATATTGAAGTCATACTAAATAAACTAAAATCATCATAGAGAACTAAACGAGGATTAAGTAACGGTATAGACGACGCCTTTAAATACCTATTCGGAATGTAAATAATGATGATTACGAGGAAATGAAAAATAATATTCTCAGTTTATTTGCAAATCAAAAGAATTTAGTAGAAAAGTAATCACAATATTTGTCATTAGCGCACTAAATTACCGACTCCTACAATAAAAATATCGAAACAATAACAAGAACGTTCAATAACACCTATAATTATTTCATTAGCACTTCCAATACACTACAAAAAGAACTAGAAACCATTCACTTAACTCAAATCACTGATCAACTAGTAAACCATTTACAAAAGATAGAAAAATCATTAACGTTCGCCCGCGAGGAAATTCTAGTTTACGCAATGATTTCAAATAAACAAATGAAAGAAATGCTCTCCCATCTGACAGAAATTTATGGAAAAAAACAGATTTTACCTTATTCAGATCTACATAGTATATATAGAATATAGTAAACAAGACATGATTCTGACGAATGACGTCATCTTATGTATAATAAGCTTCCCTATTACGAAACCTATAATCTCTACATTATACAAAATATACCCTCTAATTAACAAAAATGACCTAATTATCACACCCTCACGATTCCTCGCCACTTACGAAACCCTTTCCAAATGGTACGAAAACTGTACACCTTTAGAAATAAAATCCTACTTTTGCACAAAAAAAATTATAAATGATTGCTTAAGGCCTGCAGAATGCCTTATTGTTTCCATAAGAAGCTACACCAATATCGAAGAACTCCAAAATAAATCATTATTGATCTCCACCAACAAAGGATGGACCTTAGATGGAGAAAAACGTACGCAAGAATCGTATCTACTAGACTACCATCAAATTGTTTCAATTAACCAAATTTTCGAGAAGAAAGAAACACACCTTGTCGACTATGAAATCGAGAAATATGTGATTCCACTGCCAGAACCGAAACAAAAATTGATGGAATTAAGAAACTATCCCGCAAGAGATGAAGAAATTACTCCATTATTACAAAAAATCATCTAAAACCCGTCTACTTTTTTGGACACTCAGTCGTCACTGGACTGAGCATAATTACCGTTACTATTCTGTGTGTCATCCTATGCTACAGAAAACAAGCTCAACATCTCTACACATCGATCAGGAAGATATTCGAAAAGAAAAATCCAGAAAATACACCAGCCGAAGAAATGAAAGAGCTAAATCCGCCTTCGGCTCCAATTTATCCTACTTTTGCCTAAAGACTGAGGACAGTCTTATCCTAAGGGAGGAAGTGTTATATCCAGCCCACACTATCACAGGGTGGCGACAGTCTACTTCAACCTCGAATTCCTCCGTCTAGGCAAGTCTACAAATAATACTGCACCCTGCATCAAGAAGTCAGTCTATCCACGCTACAGCTAAAAGTCCGCTCCTTGTCGATAGTTATCTATTATAAGAGTAGATTGTAAACGAGTTCTTTTATAATAAATAAATAAGTTTTTCGAGTTTAAAAATCTTTTTTAAAAATCCAACCTTTTGGACATTCGACATACCTCTGACAAAACTCATACCTATATTTAGTGAAGATTCTGCATTAAGTTTATTTGTGGTAATTATTGTCTTATTGGATACTTGTATATTCTAGTATGCAATAAACAATGTAACAGCTTTCAATTTTTTATTTCTTCATTACACGTTTATGTGATTAAGTAAAAAATTGTCAAGTTACAATCAGTCTTCTTTAATTGTTAAGAAGATTGCTTGTTTCTTGGCAATATTTAGCTATCCTTTGAAGCAACAAAGAAAGCTTGCCTTTTACCACCTTTTACTTTAGTTCGTCCCCTGAGTGTCAGATGGCGCAACATTCGTGAGTATTTGCTATGACTATAATAATATCTCTTATCTATGATTAACAACATAAAAGTAAACGTAGGCCGTAGTTTTGGCAAGGTTTAGAATGGTTTTAATGATTTATTTAAAAGAAAGTTGTAGTTTATTGTCGTGAGAGTTGTTATATAGATATTTTCTTACATTTTAATTTAACTGGTTTATAAATATTTTATAATGACCCGCGCCTTAATAGTATTTTGGTTGGTACTATTTTCAGCGGTTTTCTCGATAAATTTTAATTTAGTTGGTGCAGCAGTAATGCATTCTCATACTTCTATCAATAAAGAGCATATTCAAGATAGCTTCTATAGCCCTAAAGATAAAAATCATTATTCTGAAGATGGAGAGCATGACATTGAATTTGACCATGAAGCTATTTTAGGTAAATAAAAGTCAGTGTAATTTGACTAAGAATAAGGGCTGTAGGGTTACACGGAATTACCTATTACATAGCTTCTCGAATGATAATCAAGTGCATGACTGTTTTATGAAATTATTGAAAAAAAAAACTATTATTGTTATTCATGTTTATTCATACAAACCTAATAGATATTCTTAATTTGTTGTTTAATTTTTTCGTGTAGTAATACTCCTGTGCATCTCTGTTCTCTTGAGTGATCAAATGTAACAATAAGAGGCTTGTTTTAAATTTACTTTTACAGGTAGTGTTAAAGAAGCTGAAACGTTTGATCATTTGCCCCTTGAAGAATCAAAAAAGCGATTAAAAATATTACTTGAGAAAATAGACTTGAATGGTGACAAAATTATTAATAAACAAGAACTCAAAGTATGGATTTTACGTTCATTTAAGTTAGTGTTCAAGTATTACTTTTTGCGTTCTTTGTAACAATTATTTCAACAATGATACTGCACTTTACAATAATTTACAATAACAAGGTGTAAGTTGCATGTTTTTTATGCTATTCATCTTAAAAATTTTACAGTTTGTAGGAGTTACATTTTTTATTAATTAACAATGCATTGCATACTATCTGACTCCCATTGTCTAGAAATATCGGACAAAAGTTTATAGAAATTTATCACATTAAAATATATGGCTATCAAAAATAGGCTCTACTTGTGTACCTAGATAAGAATTTTAAAGTAGCTCAAATGTTTTAAGTTTTTATATTCAAGGGAACTTTTCAAACTGTTGTTACCTGCTTGGTATTATGACTGAAAGATTATTCAGTAATAATGTATCTCAAATAGAATTATATTTTCAATTTTTAAGGATGCTTTCTGAAGAAGAAGCAAATGAACGACTAGAAGATGTTGATGAAAATAATGATGGAAAAGTTACTTGGGAAGAGTATATTACTGACACATATGGAAAAGATGACGAACTGCCTGTAGAGCAAGAAGACAAACAGGTGAGAGATGTGAAGATGTAAGAATCTTGTAAATAAAATACCTTTGTATGATAAACAAAAGTGAACGAAGAGTAAAAAATAGTAATGTGCAAGGCTCGTACAACATGCTGTCTTGATTATTTGTAACATTAGAAAAGAACAACTCATTACTTTCTTCAGGGAAATTTTAACGTAGAATACAGTGTTGCCGGAAAAATCAAACAAAAAAATGTTCCCGTTTCAAGTTATAACAAAATTGTATTTAAAAAATGGGAATCATACTTGGCTATTTACACACACACACATTGTCTGTCGAATGATTTCTGTTAGGGTTGCACTGTATTTATCCAACTGCATAACTCCAAATTTCAAAATAAGTTCATCCCCTTTCATCAGCATCATTTTAGTAAATGTAAACTTAGCTGTTTCTTTTGATTACAGGATATCATTTAACAATGCACAACATTCTGATATTGATTTCCTATCTCTTTCTTCTCTAGTATGTTTTTGTTTCTTGGCGCAATTATTAGCATGAATTCAAGACAGTATGGGCAAGGCCCATAAAGCTAGCATTGTAAAGTGAGCAGAATAGAATAATGTCTTTCTAAAAATTTCGCGCTAATTGAATGTTAATTTAGTGCCAGTTATAAATTCGACGTACCAAAAACATATAAAAAATTGGCAGGTGAAGTTAATCTTGATCAGTCTAATTAGTGCTTAAAGAGTGCTGATTATACGACCAAACAAAAAAGAGACAAAAATATAAATATCAATAGTTACATTCCGAACAATGTCGGCAAGTCGAATGAAGGTCACAGCTTATTTGATTTGACATGCTCTGAGCATCCAAGCACTATATTTTTGCCTTAATTTTTGGTGTTATTATATTATCAACACTTATTGAGCACTTAATACATAAGACGAAAATATAGTGCTTGGATGCTCAGAACTTCTTGGATCATATAGATAGTGTCCTATATTCTACTTGTCGGCATTGTTCACAATGTAAATGTTGATGTTACTTTTGTATTTTTTTTTTTTCGAATTATTATCAACACTTATTGTGCACTTAATAATTAATACGAAAATATTGCTTATGTCCAATTAAATATACAGTGTTCTTTGTGCGACTTGCTGGCCTTGCTCAGAACATGTCGAATCAAATAGGCATTGGCCTTTATTCGACAATATAATATATAAAGGAAACGTTACCAAAAGAGCGTCAAATTTATAACTAGCGCTAAATTTTCAGCAAAAAATTATTCTATTCTGCTCACTTCACAATGCTAGCTATACCGACGTCCTTTTTGTAAACGCAAAACTTCGCAATTGTCATAAAAATTTCCTATTCGTGAAAGCTTGCCTACCTCATTCTTCTTTTCTTTAGAATTTTTTGTCAAAGCAAAAGTTTGGCATGCTTTGCTTGCAAACGCCGAGGAAGATTGTAAGTAATTGTTGGCATATAATAGCGTTTATTCCTCACTCTCTTGCCGCCAAGTAAGTGCCTTTTAGGAATATATATTTTTATTCCTCTTTCTTCCTCATCCTCACCAGATGTGACATATTGTATCTCTTTTCTTATTAATTTCTTCTTCGAAATCCATTTTGATTGTAGTATATGCTTCATTACAAATACTTCCTTTTACACTGTTCTTTTTAATTTCATATTTTTCTATACGTCCAATTTTACTGTTCTTTTTCACTTATTGTTTAGAAGCCTTGTATCTATCTTTCTAAAATTTAGCCTTATTCTGATGTTGCTGAATAAGGGTGATAGTGAATAACCCCAGAGGAATATCTGGGTTATTTCTTTTAGGGGATATTGGTGCTAATAAGATACGTTAATTCTGAAAATTTTAGATCTCTATCTATTTTGGTTTTTGAATAAAT